GCGCCATGAAGGGATGCACAGACAGGCAGATGAAGGTTCTGGGGGTGGACGGACAACAAAGTCCAGGGTGGTGATGGTGGACTGAGCCAAGCGGTGACCTTGAGCAGGGGCTGATGGATTTTCATCCAGGCCACAGCCAGGGGAGTGTCGCATGGTGGCGTTGACGGAGGGAGGAGCCATGGAGGAATGCTGGTGAGGGCCGCCATCGGGATGACCGGAGACAATGACGGCATGGATGGAGCCCACCGTGCAGCAGATGAGCCGAGGTGGTGGAGAGATGGTGAAGATTGTGGCGGCTGCGACAGAGCCGGAGCAACGAACTCCCGAGAGCAAGTGGAGGTCGAGTTGCAACGACCGAGGGCGGAGGTGGAGCCTGAGGTAGGGCAAAGCAAGTCGCAGCCGAAGGGGCGGAGGACCAGAGAGCAGCGGACGGTCCGCAAGTCCGCATCTGAGGCGAAGTGATGTCTGACCTCGGTGGAGCTGACGTGCAGAGGGAGTCCGGCGAGGCCGATGGTCCACGCAGAGATCGAGGGTGGAAGGAGCACAGGTGCGGGAGCCAGGGCGACAGGTCGAGGCAGAGAATAGCGCACAGAGGCTGCAGGCGGAGCCTCAGGCTCCTCATGCCCAGGAGAAGATGACTCCCGACAGGTCCGAGGTGGTACCACGCTACTGAGAGGCAGAGGTGGTGCCGAGGGACTGAAGGCTGATAGAGATGACTGGGTGGCACAGATGGCTGGAGACTGCGGGAGAGACTGAAGTCCAATGCAGAAACCAAAAAAAAAAATAGTGTGTTCAGGATAGTTTGGAGAGGTGGTGGGAGAGGGAGGCTGGGCAGGGCTAACAAGACAGGTAGAGGACTGTCAAGTTTGGCCAATATAACAGGGGCTAGACAAATCTCCTCTCCAAACTCCAAATCAAAAGGTGTTCTTGCCAGAAACACACTCTCAGTAGCGGGCGGGCGGGTGGGTGGGTGGGCGGGGCTCACATCTGAACCCTCGACGTCCACCAGTACTCCCTTGGCGATGGATGGCTCGGCCGCCTCACACACCTGGTCAGGCACGCGCTGCTCGGACTCTGTGGCAATGTGGTCCTTGGTCGTTCTTGTGGGCGTGGGCTCATTCATCGCACTACCTGCGGTGGGCTCAGGTCGTCGATCCTCGCCATCTGGGTGGTTCTGGCTGGGCACTGGATGGGGAGTGGGACTAGCGGTATCCTCGACTGTGAACGCTGATCGGCAGTATGCCAGTACCCTCTCAACATATGTCGCGAAGCTCCCTCAAGGAACCTCCCCCGATAACTTATTATAACAGTTATTCGGGGAGGTTCCTTGAGGGAGCTTCGCGACATATGTGGAGTGGGTAGACAGTTATCCGGGAAGGTGATCTAAGGGGCGAGATCCAGAAATTTTGTTTTTCAACATGAGTTGAACTGCTGGAAAGTCCATGGTGCAAGTCCAAATGCATTCAACTTGTTTGGCCCGGTATTCTGTCACGGGTGGTTGCTGGCAGGCAGATGAGGAATATCCAATACGAAGGTTTATTAACAACAGAAAGGCAAACGGATAGCAACACACATTTAACATAGACAATACCGGACACTGTTGTTCTTGTTCTTCTTCGCTCACTCCTTAGGAGTATTACCGCCACCTACTGTACAGCCTACATGGGTGATGCATCTGTATTCCTTTTATTTTATATACATTCTGGACACTGAACTGAAACAGAACATACAGGTGTTAATGATGGTGACTGATGAGTGCACAGCTGAATGTGATTAGTGTCCGTGACAACAAATGAGTGAGAAGGCAGATGATGACAAAACATAACGAGTCCAAACTAACGTGAATGTGACGAACGCACCACAACTCCTCCTTATGACGTCAGGAGCGTTCAAGTAACTTTCGTCGGAGCAAGATGGCGGTGTACCTTCTCTTAATTAACTATAGGCCTACAAGGTTTTTCAATCCTACTTCTAAAAAATGATATGAAACAAGAATGTGCATCAGGTGTGTTTTGCTTTTTAATGTGTTTTATTAACTTGTGAAGCCATGTCAATTTTATCGTATATATGCTATGATATTTTGTGTCGGGAATTTTGTTATAAATAAAAAAAGCCTGACAATGTCGACAGCTAAATACATAATATTATTCGACCACGTTTCTCACTGATACTCCCCCAACTCGTAAAAATTAAGGCTTAAAGAAAATCCCGAGCTTCTCACTTCTCACATATGGGAATCATCGTAAATACGAATTTCCTAGGAAAATATTGGACATAATTCATGAACCAAGTCGTATAACCACTGGGAAGGAGTTCCCGAGATGGGTGTGCCATAAACTTTAAACATAGCGGAGGGGAGAACGATTGCTGAGAACGTTTTTTCCCCACAACAGAGCTACACATCGTCGATTTTTTTCTTGTCGTTAAAGCGTATACGAATGGTAATTTGAAGCATATTTGATCTTTTATTCACAGTGAAAATAGCCTGTATTTGACCGAAATTTCTGAATTGTCAGCAAACTAGATAACGCAGTGAATGTTTAATCATGGGACGCTAAATATCATTTTGGCTTTAATAAGTTTTCCCCAGATATTAGGCAAGAATAACCTTGTGTCCTCCGTTCCTGTTCTTTCCGACAACAAAGTTGAATGCGACGAGCTTGTAATCACGACTTAAAGTGGTAAGTAGGACATTTCCGATAGCATGAACTTCCCTGACTACACAACGTGAAGTCAGAAAATAAAACGCAATTAAGCTGCAGCCAAAGGTAGCTACATTTCATGTATGCAGGTCTAAAGCCTAAAACCTTAACTTAATAATAGCATTTCTTTTCTGCCTACTTGACAATTGCGTTTGTGTGCCACGTGTGTTTGCGTGTGTGAGACGCACTGTCCCGTCCGGAGCTTCACCTGAGAAGGTAAGCTGCTCCAGAAAGCTGATTAACGGCTTTTATCCAGCCATCGCTGTTTATGGACTTCAGGCCGGAGAAAATACCAGATGACACATATTCTGTTTAGCGCTCTACCTGTATGTTAGAATTGTTTCACCCTTCTTAATCTCCATTTTACTTAGCTTAATATGAAATTGTTATTAACTTAATTGGTATTAAATTAATATTAACTTTAATACATTTTTAATTACATTTAAGCCCATTACTGCTGGATGGATGGATGGATGGATTGATTTGTATTGAGTATTTGTATCTCAGTGCAAAAAAATAAAGTCCAAGTGCAAAAACAGGTATAGGCCTATATAGCTACTCATTATAAATAAAATAAACACTTTATTTTAAGGTCCAATTCTCACTATTAAGTTGCTTATATGCGTACTAGTATATTTTCTAACTGTCTATTAGTAGCTACTTATAAAGCACATATTAATGCCTTTTTCTGCATGACCTTATTCTACATCCCTGAATCCTACCCAATACCATACCTTACTAACTAGCCTATTAATAAGCAGATATTAGGCGTTTATTGAGGCAAACGGCGTAGTTAATAGTGAACGTGTCCCCCATACTAAAGTGTTACCACAAAATGAAATGATGCCTTTTGATTGGGATATTGATTATGGCACGTTCTTGATATGTTTCGTTACATTCACCTATATATCTATTCTAGAGCAGTGTTAATTAAACTGTTTCATTGTGGACCACATCAACAGTGAAAGTGAGGAAGCTAAGAGGTAAAGAGATACATTAAATACAAGTTAATTTATGCCGTTTTGGTGCTTTTGTCAATTATAATGACTTTTTAGCCTGTCAACTGACTACAGGTCTATTGATTAGGAAAATTTTGGCATACATTTTTAAGATAGGCTAATATATGTAAAGAGGTAATTGAAAAGCAGTCTCAGTAGTGTGACATAATCAGAAACCGTTTTTAAACCGTACACTTTCCTTTATACATATTTATATATTTTAATCTAAAATATTGATGTTGAAGAAAAATTCACGTCCATGTTTTTTTGCTTAAAGGTATTCTGAGGATGTGTGTTCAGGCAGCTGTTCTGAGTCCCATTTAGAGAAATCCATTTCCTTCTCTTCATCCAATCAGGTAAAGCTGTGTCCCGCTGGGATTCAACTGTCCAAACATCTCTTACCTGTGACCAGCTCTACAGCCACTTACTTCACCCCACATCCACCCCTCATAAGCCATGTTTCCATCCACTTGTCAATCGAATTATCTGAAGTTCGGTAAAAAAAAAAACCTCATGCGAATAAAGCTGGTGAAAGTGTGTTTCCATCAAACGGCTTTCCATCAAATGACGTCACATGCTGTTTTGCGATCAAATTGGTAGCTATATCGAATTAATTTGAGACATGTTAAGGTGTTTCCATTCATTTTCTCACCGAATTGCACAACATTCAAGCCAACATTTGCGAACAAAGTTTTACTAGGCAAAATGGATCGCACCATAATAACGTTTCCATCCGCGTTTATCGCATAAGCCGTTTATCGATAAAGATAAAATCCGATGAGACCGATCGTATTTCATTCGAGTTGATATTCATGAAATTCAATCGAATTTTACTGTTTCCATGAGGCATTTTTCATTCGATATCACTTAATGTGGATAAAAACGTGTGGATGGAAACATAGCTATATTTAAGTCTTTTAAGTATATTAAAGTCTAAAGTTAAACAGAAGCAAAGAGTCACATCTGTTCAGAGGTAGGTGTGCATTAGGAACAAGCTGTAGTATATAGGCTACACTGCATTTTGCAACAACAAAATACCACAGAATAATGCTGAGTCTCATTAAATATCTTTATCTCACAAATGGAGTTACCTACATGATCCACAAAAACTGGCGTTACTGCAAAGTCAAGATCAAATGTACAGAAAGGTATATGTGACAATGAAAAATTCACAGAAATGATATGAATAAAAATACAACTGATTGGGTTGTCTGACTTAACAAAGCACACACAATCACCTAGAATCTTTTACATTTGGTACTCTTGACAACTTCTGTAACTGTCCCACAGCTGTGCGCTCTCAAATGGTGCAAGTTGAGGCAGAAAGACTGTTTTCACATCTCTTCAACTAGTGAGTCAGATATTTAACCCGAGAACTACACACATTAATGGCGGACGTGAGTTTCCCCATTGTTACAGAGTTCTCTCCAGTAGATCACCATCAAAATGCTTTTGAAGATTGTCAGACAACCTAAGGCCTGTTAAAGGCAGCGTTGTGTAGAAAGCAAGGTGTGCCACTGTTTCCATCCCTTTAAGTTCTGGGAGGTGACGGAACGCTTTTTCCTCAGCTGCCGGATAAAAGCTGCCATGTGACCCCTTCAAGACAGGTCATTTCTGATTTCATAGCACGCAATGGCTTTAGGATGAAACATATATTATAGGGTGAAATATATGCTATTGCATGTGTGAGGCTGTTGGGTTAAACATCCGCTCAACCAATAAATAAACTGGAAACATAAGGGTCAAACTTGATGCTACTACAAATGAACATGGAGAGTGAGGCTTGTTTGGTTGGAAAATCAGAAATGGTTAGATGGTAATATCAGGAGATGTACGGATATATTTAATTTTTAAAATATTAGAAAATTCATTTATATCTCATTTTTATTTACATTGTAGTGTGTACATTCACATTTCAGTTGGAATCTCATTAAATTGTCGGTGTATTGATCTTTTTTCTGTATGCATATACACCTATATTTTTAAGAGAGAACATTTAAAGCAAGCTTTCATGCGTTCCTTCTCCCAAAAGTGCGAGTGGCTACGGACATGACGGGGCAGGAGGGGCCGTGGCTCTCAGCTTTATGTGGGAGCTGCTTCTGCATCTTCCTCCTGTACCTGGTTGCCTTTACACAGGGACTTGATCTTCGTCATGATGCCGGAAAGTGTCTCCTTTACACTCTTTTCCAGCAGCCATCCCTCGCTTTCGCTCTCAGGATTCTCTGGGTCTGCCAGGGTTTCCAGTGAAGTAGTGAGGTACTGCAAACCGACGGTCACCACAGCCTGCGACAAAATTTCAGGTTAATAAATCTCTAGAAAGTTCAAGCTCAAAGCAGCATCATTGTTGTGTGCTTCTTATGTTTTGATCCACTTGAGCTCTACTTTTCCAGGAAATATCCAGGTTGGCATCAAGATTCTAGGACTTAAGCCTGTGGTTCAGGCTAAGGTTAACCCTCTTGAACACATTTTTTTTTACATTTGGTGTCACGTCACATTACACAATCACGAAAATTGAAGAATGAACTGTTGTGTAGTCATTAAGAACATAATCAGACCAAAAGAAGTTTGTTTAGAGTTTTTGGGAGTTCGAAACAGCTTGCCAAAGCGAACATTTCGGAAAAATTTGCTCAGACTGGTAAACGCCTTCGAACTACCAATGGTCTGTGACGATTATGTAAAGCGATACTGTTTTTTTATCTTTATGTTTAATACTTTAAAGCTGCTTGTTTTTTAGCAATCTATTGTATGAAGTGCTATAAATAAATGTGATGTGACTGGAGAGCCGGATTGTAGAGCTTGTGCAAACATGTCTACATCTCTATGAACAGATGCTTTCTTAACTGCTGTTTTCTCATCGCTGTTATTTTTGTTGTGTGTTCATTTTGTTATTGAGAGGAAAGCACACAGCAAAGCACACACCACATATTTGGGATATTGTCGGGATGTTCATATTTGGGATGTTCGCTAACAGTATACCACTGGTCATGTATTTCAAATTTCTTTTAACCACTAGGCGAAGAACTTGTGTACTAATATATATCGGGTCCTTAACAGTTCATATTGAAGGTTTGCTGTTCCCATCTACTAAATTGTGTATGCATTACTGTATAGTATTTTGTAGTAGTAATCAGTCCCTCCAGAAAAACGCGATTATGCGATCGCATGATTTAGTGCATAATCAGCCAAAGTCCGCATTTTTTCAAATACGCCGCATTTTCGCCGCATAAATTGCCGATTTTCGTGTAAAATACGCGGGGCTTGCATGATTTCATAATCCTCGCATTTTCGTTGCAAAAAAGTCACATATATCTTAGCAGAAGGTTGAAAAATGTGGCGTTTGTTTCACACGAGAGCAGCCGTTTCCCCCTGTTGCCATGGGAACATTATGAAGTGACGTAATTACGCGATGTGAACATCATCTAAAAGTTGTATAACAGGAGCACACATTATTTTTTTATATTTTCTTTATTCATTTTTACAGAAGTTGTAGCATATTCCTTTTGTAAAGCTACAGAACTTGTTTGACTCATCAATGTTTTGTACGTTTGATGTGTTTATTAAGGTCTGAAATAAAACAAGATGAGAACTTAAATATTCCAGCACTTTCTGTGATGTATATGCTTGCTTATCATAGGAAGTAATAAGAAATGACTCTTTACATTAAGGTAGTAGCCTAGTGAGAACCGGGTGTTGGGGGAATCACTTTTTTTTTCTTTTTTTTCATCAAAGCGCAGTTTTTGCAAGTTCCCGCAATTTTACAAAAAACTCCGCTTTTTTCTGGAAGGAATGAGTAATGTAGACAAGTCCTGTAAGAAGAAAATATGAATATGTGAATATGTGAATATGTGAATAGTTCATGTTATTTGTCAACTTTCCCACATGTTAAATGTTTATCAGTTATACCTTGTCATGTCATCAACACAAAGTGTTAATTAAATCAATTAAGCAGTTAATTAATCTGATTCTTCCAGACCTATTTATATTACTCTATACGCACCAACTGACCTTATAATCTAGCAGCTCTTAAGAATCTAGCAACACACTCTTTACCCACCAAGAGTGTAATCTAGAGACTAAATCAAAGACCACGAGTTAGCTGTGTTCAACTTAAGATTCCAGTTTGTCTCCCATACCCACCTCCAAAACAATGAACAGCAGCACAAAAGCACCAATACTGTTCATCATGCCTCCATAGTAGGACACCAGGGCTTCACGGCAACCTCTGGTCCAGATGTTTAGGTCCTCAGTGTGGTGGTCATAGCTGTAGTGAGCGGAGTTGTTGGACAGGTGATGCTGGATGCAGGGCCGAGGGGAGCCAGGGTTGCAGCAGCTGAAGGGAACGCTTTCCATCAAGTATTTGCCTTCCACGTTGCTCTGGACACGGCTAAGAAATTCCCCCCAAAAAAGATTGAGAACTCTCTGTCATTAATTGGTTCATTATTCTTGGGTGTGGCATTTAAGATTTCAGGAGTGACAGGCTTAGAAATATATCTCAACAAAGTCGTATCTTTACATTAACTTTGAGATTACTGGACAAAGATGAGAACTCCAATCTGATTATAAAAACAACACCACTTTTTAAATTAGATTTGTGAACCTCCTTGGGATCATTTATCACCTAAACGGTGATCGCCCCTTGGGAGGCCAACATTGGGGGCAGACTCCATGGGAGGTAATAGATTGTACAATGTTATTATTGGTGTGGAGAGTAAGCTTTAAAGGACTTTGGAATGGGATCCTGACAGATTATCCAATCCATGGATCCATTTGCCCCCTTTACTCATTTCCTTTTTATAAAACCCACCAGCCAATAATCTACTTAGGAATCTCTCAAAACAAACCCCTTAAATTTGATTCCTCTTGCATTCAACATTACAGGTTTCAGGGGGTCTGCTTTGAGAGGTCTCCGCTAGAACTTTTGTGTTATCTTTTATCTTGGTTATTGTGTAAATTATTGCACAATAGAGCGCCTTCTTGGTTGCGCTTCCTGAAGAGGAGAATAATATATACATCAGCTGATCTCTATCCGCTTAGCTGCCTTAAACAAGAAACAACTTCCCCAAATCCCACTGAACATCAGCCTTGATAACTATATCCTAATACTTGGACATATATGTTTAATGCCTGTACCTTTTGAATGTGTCTATATCTGTTAACTTGATATACATCTCGTAATCATAATGAATCATTGAAAAAAAGATACATCTCAAGAAGTTGCATAACAATTATCCAGAATCTCTTCCACTTAGATCCCTCGCCACCTCTTATCTACGTTTTCACTGAAAAAAAATATCACTACTCACTCTTTAACATCCTCATTGCTGAAGTCCAGGTAGCGATTGCTAATCCACTGGATCTCGAACCAATCCTTGTAGTTGTTGTTGCCGCAGCAACGGAACTCAATTTGGGTCATATCCAGCGTTCTCTTCATGAAGCATCGTCCTGGCGTGTCTGTGTCTTTGTAGTACTTCATTCCATTCTTCAGGCCTTCAGCCAGGGCGAAGTGCAGAGAGATCTGCATCAAGAAACACAGCAGAGCCGTGACAAAGAGGGCGATGCAGAAAACCACACATCCACACATGTAGATCTTCAATAGAGGTTTCCACTTGGTGAACTTGACTGTGTCAAGGGAGTCATGGCACACTTTGCCCCCAAAAGCATTGACACCACAGGCCACAAGTCCCACCAGAATGAGCAGGTTGGGGACGAAATGACTCTCATCGTTATCCATAATCTCGCTTCTCTTGCGCAGCTCGATCTTGAAGAAGATCCCCATGCTGAAGATGATGATTCCAACCATGACAGAGAGCCAGTACAGGAGCCACAGTCCTTGGGCAAGCTTGACCCGTTTGGCCAAGTCAAATTTCATAAGCATCAAAGCCATTTTGTTTTTGGTGTCTAATGAGTCACAAGGATATATTCACAGGGGTTATTCTTCAATATGATTGCCTGTTATTGTAAGATTTGATGTGTTTTCTGATCCTTGTTGAAATTCTTGAAGACCTTGAACCGAAACGTTGTAGTCCAGAAGCTTAGTTTAGTAATCCGTCATCAAGTATGGCTGCAGAACGTGCTGTAGCAAGGATTCCCCTCTTCATACCCATTCTGACCATCCACAATTTAAGAGAGTCCATAATGTTGACAACCAGAGGCCTCTTCCTCTGGAATTTCTCATAAATCCACCCAAATGGACCTGCTGGGGGGCAACGTGGCTTTTGCTGATGGTTCCCTTCCCTGCAAAAGGGGGTGGCCGGCTGAGGAGCTGTATGATTGTAGGATCCAGTTCCTCTACGTCATCCTAAAGCCCACTAATCAGCACTGATCCCATTTGCAGATGAGCCGAGGACTAATCCTTTATCTTACTCTGTAATTGGTTAGTTACTTTAGCATCAGTTTCCTTTTTTACCTGCTGGTATTGCTGGGCTGTGGCGTATCTTTGGATAGTCTTCAGACCAAAGCATTCTTGTCTGATAGGCCTTTTGTTTGTACCTTATATGGCCACTCAGACCTCTGATTTGTTAGGATAACACGCTCAAATGTACCGCTGGGTGGTTTGTATTTTCCAGCTCATGTGTCAATAACAAATATTTTTACTTACCGGTATTCAAGTCACCTCTTGTTAAAAATGTATTTCCCAGGGTACATTATACAACCTAAATCACATTAATAGTGCAAAGGAAAACAAAAACAACATTACAAAAAGTTAATATATTGCTGAGTCTTCATCATAGTTGTGAAATGTTCAAACATTGTTGAGTGAAGCACCGGTAGTTCATACATTTTCTTAATATTTAATTTATAAAAATAATTGAAAGACTTTTTGGGGGCACATTTTTCTGTGCATGATACTTCTGCTAAGTGTAACCTAACCAAATGCACAGATCTCTTTAGCTCAGCGATTGGCTTCCATCTATGATATAATGATAGACCCCAGACAGGCCAGGTAAACGTGACCGATGTGTTTATCCTATTGTCTAACTCCACAAGAAGTTGGACAGGTCTCCTAAGATTACTATCACCCAGACATGTAATTGAACCATCCTTGTCCCCGGTCAATCCTCCCATAGCAACTTCAAAGTTATGGACAGCTTTCCTTCTTCCTTTAGAGGTGATTTTTACATGATGAAAGGAGATAAAGCCACGTTTTTAATCTCATTATCTAGTTGGCTAATTTTTGTTCCTCAACAAATCATGGGGAGATCCAGTCATACAACCCGTCAAGACAGATTTTGCTGCTAAGTCAAGCCAATGTACTTTGTCAAAGAGCCATTAGCTCATTTGACAGTTACCATGAAGAGCAAATCAACTTTCTGTGTTCACTACTAAACCTATTTGCAGCAATCACAAGCTCTTATAATTAGTAGTGAACTTGAAGTCCTTTGCCACTTTGGTTAAGCCTAATCAAATTTCTAAACATTGAAGATTAGGACTTTTGGTGGATTGACCCCAAGTCTTTTGTAGGGTCTCTTGCAAGAGCACTTGACCTGTCTTTGGGCTAAGAGCTAATTGGTTGAGTTGTAGGGTTGCCTTGGAGACATGTCTATATGACAACCCAATCGGGCATCACCCCTGTAATTAGCGTGTGTTGGTCACATGTGACAAGATTACAGGGACTGATAGGATTTCTGTGACTTACTGTCAGATCCATTTAGAAGGACACGTAGGCACTGGATGAATTGCACGCAATGCTTCTACCCCAGAAAATGAGAAGATTGAGAAGCTTGTTACATTGAGGCTCAAGTGTGCATATTTGTTGGTGTGGAGGGAACTCTTGGTTGGCCGTTGTTATTGAGGGGCATTCTGAGCTCAACATAATATTCGGTGTTTCTTTTTGTGATGATCTCTTGTATGTTCTTTCAAATTGTACATTGCTTTAATCTTGTTTCGATTCCAGACAGAGTAGTATATAGTTGTGATGACTTAAGCTGTTGTGTACTACTGTACTACTGCTGTACTACTACACTCCCTTTAAAGTGAACTCTGTGTGTAATGACACCTTTTGGCAAGCTGTGAGAATAGAGCACAACATCAACCACCCACTTTTTCAGTGGCCTTGGTTCTGGAAATATTTCTCCATTCATTGTTTGCATAGGGATTAAAGAAAAAAAAAAGTTCAATAAAGACTTGAAAGCCTTGAACCAACCAGCTCCAAGATGGACATTACAAAAATGGACTTGTTTTGAATATTTAACAAAAATTGAATTTTGCAATTCTTTATTGAAGTAGGCGGTCATGGCTGTGTTTTTATTTATTTATTCGCAATTTCCATAGTAACATTGAATTGTTCTTGGTAGAGTTGTCTTAAAGTACGCTCCCGTGTGTATCTGTGTAAGCGCACGATGAAGAGTTTCAAAAACGATATATTTTTTTCAATGCTATCTCACGACCAATTCGTACGAATTTGTACGAGTGATTAAAAGGTGGCTAATTCGTACGAATTCGTACGAATTAGGTAGGTTTAGGGGCGGGGTCAGGGGTAGGTCATTCGTACGAATTGGGCAACTTGTAAAATATGTACGATTTTAGCAAAAATCTTACTAATTCGTACGAGTGAGGTCGTACGAATTGTTACGAATTAGCCACCTCGTAAAATTCGTACGAATTGCCGTGAGATCGGGTTGATTTTTTTATGTGTTGATCATTGACATACACTCACCGGCCACTTTATTAGGTACACCTGTCCAACTGCTCGTTAACACTTAATTTCTAAGCAGCCAATCACATGGCGGCAACTCAGTGCATTTAGGCATGTAGACATGGTCAAGACAATCTCCTGCAGTTCAAACCGAGCATCAGTATGGGGAAGAAAGGTGATTTGAGTGACTTTGAACGTGGCATGATTGTTGGTGCCAGAAGGGCTGGTCTGAGTATTTCAGAAACTGCTAATCTACTGGGATTTTCACGCACAACCATCTCTAGGGTTCACAGAGAATGGTCCGAAAAAGAAAAAACATCCAGTGAGCGGCAGTTCTGTGGGCGGAAATGCCTTGTTGATGCCAGAGGTCAGAGGAGAATGGCCAGACTGGTTCGAGCTGATAGAAGGGCAACAGTGACTGAAATAACCACTCGTTACAACCGAGGTATGCAGCAAAGCATTTGTGAAGCCACAACACGCACAACCTTGAGGCGGATGGGCTACAACAGCAGAAGACTCCACCGGGTACCACTCA